GACTCCCATCACTGTGATCCTCGCCTTCAATGTGCATCACTGCAGTGGAGTCGCTAGACAACTCTTTTGAAATATTAACAACCAGAATAAGAACTTGAGCAAACGGCATAAAAATTGGAAGCAACTTTTGAAAAGCAATTTGACCTCCTGTATCAACGAGGTATAGCCATTGAGCACCTTCAAGACGATTCTCCTTCCCTGAACACTGTCGCACTCCGTCAAGTACTTTCTTTACTTCTTTACTCAGCGAACTTTCCTTCTCATCTCCAGGTGCTTCATTTTCATCTCCAGGCGTTCCATCTCCATTACCAGGTCTATCGGTGGCTTCATATTCATCAACAAATCCATCGTCAGTCTCATCAGCTGTTTCATTTCCTCTGGTTGGTTTCTTTTCATCAAGACCTTCACTGCCCTGATTTTCTAGTGGAGAATTGATGAATTTTTCTACTGCATCTTTTTTCAAAGCATTCTTAACAATTTCTTCTAACTCTGTGACATCCAATAGCTTGTACCGTTTCCCAGTGTCTCGTCTGTAGCAGTAGATACCAACTCTCGGCTCAGCAATACCGGTACTTGCTTTGATGTACTTTTCATCCAGTAGAAGTGACTTGAAACAGGTTTTACCAACACGAGCTTCTCCTTGAACTACAGCTTTGGTGAGATGACACATCACGATAGTCTTAAGTGCTTCACGATAGTGACGTAACTCTACAGACAAAAATTATTTAAAATTAAAAACATTAACTAATAAATAACATTAAATACATGTATTATTAATTTTACAAATTGGTAAAGAAACTGTCAATTAAATTTTTATTTCACTATTCATAATATGCTCAATGACATGTGACAGCAAAAATATGTTCCACCATTCACCAAAATTAATGTCAGTAATAAAACATGCAATATATTTATTGAGTGATAATAATATAATACCTGGAGAATCTTTATGAATAATATTCTTTCCTAAAAATAAATATAAAAAAGAAACTTCATATAAGACAAAACATAAATTGTATTATCAAAGCTTGTGTCATGTAAAACCACATAAGAATAAATAAAATATATTAAAATTATTATAATAATAACTTACTAATATAATCAGCTGCTGCTTTTTGACCAATGTCCTCAAGAGCAACACATAGAGAGGTCATTCTTGGACCTCCTTTATAATCAACAAGGTCAGCTTTCTGAAACCATTTCACTAGAAACTGCCTAAGACATCCTTGTTCATCTCCAGGATACTCAGCCTCAATAGCCTTATTTGTATCATAAGTTAATCCTAAAGGATAACCAAGAGATTTCCATTCCGTCGGTGAGAAGCCAGCTTCATTCAATGTGTCAAGTACATACTGTAAATCATTAACGTCTAAGAGAGGACCTGTGGAGTAATAGAACGTAAATTTATTATTAAAATCATAAGGATTGTCAATAGTCAATTAAATTATTATTTATTAATACAATACTTATACTACTGAAGGTATAAATATCATTATATTAGTACCAGCATTGTGAGTAGTGTAGTGGGTGTGGTTATTAATGCTAGACCACACCCACTCTGATCTAGCTAGCTAGCTTACCTCGTATCAATCTCTTTTCAATGTCTAATCTCGTGTCTAATGTATTAACTCCATCCACACCTTCCATTGGCATAGTATAACGTAGTCTAAAAACAGCATCAGGTGTAGCATGTACTGATATACTGCAGGAGGGAGGGTCAGGATAACCAGGTGTACCAACCTTATCAACATCACTTCTATATATCTATTGATACACACACACACACACACACACATTAATTATATATATACATGATACAAGTACTTACTCTAAAAGGTACTGTGAGAGGTTTAATAATCCATCCATCAGTGGTTCGCTTAGATTGTGGAGTATCAAACTTTAATTCAATATAATCACCTCTTGATGTAAGTGTAGAGTCTTGCTGGACAAATGTAAAGTTGATAATTTCTATTATTCCAACTGTCTTAGGGTGCTTCCTTTCCCTATACTGTAAATAAACACATTAATACACATACAATATACCTCATTATACTTACATCATCGAGTGTGTTTCCATCTTTAGCTACTGTAAATATTGCTACATATTCATTTAAACCTTTCTCCTCATAAAATAAGTATCCTTTATATTCAGTATTCCTTCCTAATGTAAAGTGAAATAAAGTGAATCAAACACTTTTAACACTTGATACTGACACAAGAGCTAACCTGATCCACCAGTGGCCATCTTGACAGTCTCACCTTAAGTTACAGAAAATAAATCATAATAGCATTGTAGAATACCATAGATAATAGAGACTACGTGCACAGCCAATAGTTGAAATCTGGATCAGGATTGATGCTAGCCTGAATCAGTCCTGAAATCAGTATTGGATCATGCAGTTTGGGCAATCAGTCACGATACAATGATGAAATCAGTTGCGACACTATCATGAAAAGGTTTTGCACTGGTTCAGGTCAGAGTATCAGGCATGATCAGCAATGATACTTGTCAGGACTGTAGCAGTTCTAATATCAGACTTGATTCGTTCATTTTGGGCAATTTTGCTGATTCAGGTATGATTACTATTGGCTGTGTATACTGAAATGTGTCTGTAAACCCTGTAAGAATGTGTCTGTAAGAATGGGCGTGGTTCCACTATTAATTAATTAGCCTATTTGATTATTAAGATAATGGATGAGCTAAGAAGGAGAGCTTTACAACGAGAAGAACTTGAAAAAGAAGCAGCCAGGGAACAAGACGACTCTCCAGCAGCAGAAGAGGATTTCCTAGAAGTAGAAGACCCTCTACTGGAGATACCAGTGGGAGACAAACACTATGACAAGAGGAAGAGCGTACTCCGTAGAACTACCTCTGAAGCTGCGTTAGGGTTCTTCATTCATTTGTGTCTCCTGATATACTGTACTGGTGTCAACGTGTATGACTCCACTGCTTATAAGAAGTGCAAGGAAAAGGACCTTGCTTATGACGGCCACGATAATTTTGGTTGGCGTTTTAAGTACCTCACATTTTTGACCATGGTATGTACATGTACATTATGTGCATTATGTACTGTATAGCAGGAAATTTTGGAAGGAGTTAAATTTGGCGAATTTAGCATTTTGATAGCCATTTACCAAATTAAAAATCCTCCATTTTGAGCCATTATACGCATCCTCAATGGCGCATCTCCAAAAATTAGCCAAATTAAAATTTGCCAATCACCAAAATTTAGCGATTTGCCAAATTCGACTCCCTCCAAATTTCCCGCTATAGGGTATGTTCTGTACAGTGTAACCTAAAATGCCTTTTGTTAAGGATTCTAAATTTATACAAAAGTGCCTATAAAACAAGGACACGTCTGTAAGTATGGTCCTCCCAATGTTCTCCAAAATGAAGAGGCTACACTGTGCATTGTATTAATGTGATCCATAGTAATAATTATTCTGGTTTTATTCCTTTCCTCTATCTCTTTATAGTGGGGACTGTTCTTATATTTCTTCATAGCATTCTTTACTGATATAGTTCCCCAGTCATTGGCTAAAGTTATGCTACATAGATTTACTGATTGGCTCTTCACTACAGTGGTCTGGCCCTTTGCCTGTGTAAGCTACACTAATAATAGTATTATTGATAAAAGAGGATATTGAAAGGACTCTCTATTATTCATAGTGTGTCTTCACGCTCTTTTTATTTGTGTAATGTTATAACTGTATTGTTTTGGGAATTTAGAATAACAATATTTATTTATTGTTATCAGATCGAGGTGATTCTGTTTTGGACCATGATGACCATTGATCCTAATTTATTGAAACGTCATGAAATATATGATATTTGTGTTCCTCCACTCCTTGATCATGCCCTGGTAAGTATCACTAATATTATGTTATTATACTAACAACCATTTCGCTCTTAGCACACTTTCCCTATTATTGTTGTACTGCTGGAGGCTTTGTTGGTCTATCACAGATACTCAAGTAATCTGGTAGCTGCTTTTTCAATATTTTCAGCAACTACAGGATATTTCATTTGGTAAATAGTGTATATATATTTGTATTATACTTCTGTCATTTACAATCAAGTTAACTCTCGATATTGTTTTAGGATTCTTATAGTATTTACTAAAATTAACAAATGGCCGTATGCTTTCATGTATCACTTGAATCCAGTGGCATTTATTATTTTCATGTTTGGCTGTACTATTTTTGGTGGATGCATTTATGCCATTGGTAGGATCATTGCGTCATTTAGATGGAGAGGTAAGACAGAATTGGAGAATGAAGAGATGTTATTTTTTTCAACTTTTGATGATACAGAGCGGTTTATGATACTGAAAGAGTTAGCCGAAGATGGTGATGAATCATTAGACGAAGATGAAGATTAGAATTATATAAATCATAATACATAATAGATACTAAAATAGGAATCATTACTTTCAATTTTAAAAAATAAAATATTACGCCTAAAATCAGTGAGGCTGCAAAGTATAGACTTTATTCACAGTTATTCTCAGATGCAGGAAATTGAGTGTATTTTTAACATTTTGTAATCAGTAAACCTCAGCCCAACCTCTCAAATATTTTCTCTTGGCTGCTATTATGGAGGGTAAGAACAAGCAAAGGTCAAAAGCTCAGAAGCGGGTTCAGGCTGAAGGAGAAGGCAGCAGCTCAAAGGCTGCAGCTTGTTGCTGGCATTTCCTTTGCCTCTGTGTGTACATTGCTATCTACTGGTATGACAGTAAGATTGTGAGCGAGTGCCCTGAGCCAGAGAAATATTTCGAAGGTAATGACAAATTTGGTGGAAGATGGAAGTACCTGACCTACATATCATGGGTGAGTGAGATGATTGCTTTAGTTGACAGATTTTCTCCATTTCTCTTTGTAGCAATTAATGTTGGCTTATTTCTTCATTGCTCTCATCAATGACTTCTTTTCTATTTTCTCTTCGTTCATCAGTTGGTTGTTCACATCAATTATTTGGCCTCTTGCTTGGGTAATAAATAATCTGCAACTATTTGCACTCTATTTTTTGTCATTTTGCAGGTAGTTACTATTTTCTTTTGGGTGCTCTATGCAATAGATCGAGAATCAATCTATCCTTCATTTCTTGACGAGTACCTCCCTCTAATGATTAACATTTGCTGGCATGTCGTCCTCTTTCCTGTGGTCATATTAGAAGTATGGATCATTAAACATCAGTATCCATCAGGTTTTGTAGCTGTCATGTCGATGCTCTGCCTTGGAGCATTATATACTATGTGGTGAGTGCCATGGCAGTAAGTAACATTACGATGAAGGTTGTGGTATGTATGGACAGGTGTTGTTAATTTGTTATTGCCAGTTGTAGTGTAAAGTTATGCATACGTGTAACCGGTAATTTTTGTGGGTCCTATATTTTGTAAAATCTACTACAATTCCAATTTGCAAATTTTAATTTCATGAATTCTACCACGTGTGCCATGTAGGTACAGTATTAAATTGATTTTCGTGGATTTTATTTTTGTGAATTAGGAAGAAATCCACGAAATTTGCAACCCTAAAAAAATAACCACTTATATTGTATAACTTTAAAATTAATACTGTAACTGCAAATAAGATGATTATGGAAGTGCATAATTGATCTTTATCTCCCTTTTATTTTTACTTTAGGACTATTGTCATACATAATAAAACAGGCAACTGGACGTATGGTTTTATGGAAAATTTCAATTATATTGGATTTTGTGTATTTTCACTGGTCTCGTCTTTCATTGGAATTGTTTTCTACTATATGGGTAGAGCCTTCGCCTTTTGTAGATGGGGACAATAAAAGAATATCTATTTTTTGCATTCTTTAATTTATTCATTGCTTGTTGAGACTATGAATAATTTAAAAAAATTAAAATGGGAGGAAAGCTTGGAAAGGAGAAAGGAAAGGGCAAAAAAGGCCCGGGCAGTAAAGCTCAAAGCAAAGAAGAAAAGAGTCCACAGCAAAACTTGAAGGCACCAAAAGCTAGCAATAAGTCCCTGGTTTGTGCTTGGCATTTCTTGTGCCTCTGTATCTACGCTGCTATACACTGGTATGATTATAAGCTGGTCTCTGAGTGTCCTAATCTGGAAAGATTCTTCCCTGGAGCATATGCGTTTGGTGGTAGATGGAAGTACCTGACAGCTATAACAATGGTGAGAAGACATATAAGTATAGCTGTTAAGCTTTGTTGTAGATAGACATAATATACGATGCATGCCCTTACAAAGTTTGAATCAATTTTTGATGATGTTTTACTCTTATTCTGTTTTCATCAGAACCTAATGCTAGTCTATTACTGCCTTGCTTTCTTCAATGACCTCTTTACCAATTTTACTTCATTCGTAAGCTGGTTCTTCACTACTACTATATGGCCTCTTGCTTGGGTAAGCAATGATGAATTAATTTTTATGATTATGCTTAACTTAAGGCTGAAAATAATCAACGTATGATCCTCTATCATTTTCCCTCGCATTTTCCTATGTCCCTGGTGTTATTTTTCCATTTTTCAGGTAGTGACTATCTTTTTCTGGGTATTGTATGCAATGGACAGGCAGCTCATCTATCCAAAGGTTATGGACGAATATTTCCCGGTTGCCATAAACATGTGTTGGCATGTCGTCCTCTTTCCTGTCGTTCTTCTTGAAGTTGCCATTGTCCAGCACCGCTATCCCTCTCATCTGGTCTCTGCCATCACTCTCTTCCTAATAGGAGGATCCTACACAATCTGGTAAATTGAACAATATATTCTTAGAGTCTTTTTAAAATTTTTTTCCAGGACAATTGTCGTTTATAATAATACGGGTAGATGGACTTACGGCTTCATGAGGGGTTTCAATTATCTTGGATTCTGTGCCTTCTCGCTGATATCGTCTTTTGTTTCTATTTTGTTTTATTATATTGGGAGGTTCTTGTCTGGATTGAGATGGGGCTGAAATAAATTTTAGTTTTTATTGTTCTTGAATTTATAATAATTTTTTTTGTGGAAAAAAAAATAATTTTTTGCTTTATTTTCTGGCTATCTCCGTTTCACCATGCACCCACGCATAATTCGGAGATAAACAGAGTTATACGGATATTTAATTTTTTTATTTAACAACTCTTTAGTTTGAGTTTCTAGAGTCGCTTCTCTCTCAGTCTCTCTTGCGTCAATTCCTGGCCGAATCCGCTTCCAGCAAAAAATCCTTTCTACTGGTCCAAGGAGAACAAAAGTAACACGTCAAGTTTGTTGTGCTTGTGCAGCTGTTTGTGGGCGTGGTCTGATATTCAAGAGAATCAAGCAACATGAGTGGTTGGTTCAAGAAACAAAGGTCAGGAGGGAGTCCTGGCTGGAAGAGGAAGAAAGATTCTCAAGAGGGACCAGGGTAAGATTGCATGACTAATGATATTTAAGCTGTCTTATTTTTATAATAGTGGTAGGAAGTTTGAGAGAGATGACTTAGTGATGTCCTTGCCTCCTCACATTCTCTCTTCTTCAAAGCAGCAGCAGCAGGTCTTACTCACAAGTGATAACATTGGCACACGTAATCCACTGGATTGGGAGTCCACTCCGGATAGTTTGAGGAAAAAGTTTCCGCACTGGAAGGAGCACAGTGTACCGTCACCTGGAATCAAGAAGAAAGATAATCGTTAGCTGCACTCTCTCTCTCTCTTTCTCTCCTCTCTTTCTTTTTGTTCTAACTTGCTCTCTCTCTCTCTCTCTTCTGTCTTCCTTTTTTGTTCTAACTTTATCTCTCTCTCTCTCTCTCTCTTCTGTCTTCCTTTTTTGTTCTAACTTTATCTCTCTCTCTCTCTCTCTCTCTCTCTCTCTCTCTCTCTCTCTCTCTCTCTCTCTCTCTCTCTCTCTCTAACTTGCTCTCTCTCTCTCTCTCTCTCTCTCTCTCTCTCTCTCTCTCTCTCTCTCTCCTCTCTTCCTTTTATGTTCTAACTTGCTCTCTCTTTCTCTCTCTCTCTCTTTTTCAAGACTTAACTTCTCCTACAACTAAGAAGTCAAGTCACGTTCCAGAAAATGCAATACCATACATAGTAAGTTACAATTGCTAATTTTATTATTATTATGTTGTTGTTGTTGTTTTTTGTTAAAATACATATAATGGACATGCATATACAAATGCCTACATGCAGCACACCCACTTAACACTTACTTCATACTTCATTATTCATTGCTTACTTGGCCCAGGTAGCAGGTTATGTATTAATGTTATTTTTACTGGAATTGGCTCCAGGGAAGTTTTTATGCACATTTTAGGCTTCCTAATTGATTATTATTAATGTACAATGAAATGTATATAAGTGTTTAATACAGTACTGTCTGCATATTAATTGTTAGGGTATTATTATTATGGTTTTAGGTGGGCCTCCAAGTTAATATACATGTACTTTGATGTGTGTACATGTACATGTACATGTATGTGTGCACTGAAATACATGTACATGTATATGTCTATATGTGTGATTGTGCATGTAGAAAAACAATTAATAGCACCTCTTTAATACTCTTTCTCTCCCTCCCTCCCCCTCTCCCTCCCCCCCCTCTCTCTCTCTCTCTTTCTCTCCCCCTCTTTCTCTCTCCCTTCCTCCCCCTCTCTCCCTCCTCCTCCCCCCCTCTCTCTCTCTTTTAGGTAATGGAGTGTGACACTTTAGCTAGCATTGCCTTAAAATTTGATACCACACCAAGTGATATTGCCAGAGCCAACAACAAGCTACTTGGTAACTCCTGTCCCATATGCCCTGGAGAAGTTAGTGCAGTGCACACACATACATACATGTACGTGTACATGTACATGTATACCCTTTCACATTGAAATAGATAAAAATGATAAAGTAATTATTATTAATGATGATATGAGATAAGGAATATGATAACAATTGTAATTCCTGATAAAATAATTTGGCAAAGGAAATTAGCATTAGTTATAATAAACTTAGCATATTTATTATTAACAGTGTTATGATCGTAACATTAATTTTATTTATGTATTTATTTATTATTTGTCTAGCTACTGTATATTCCCGATAGCAGTTTGAGAAGTGAAACTAGAAGTAAAAACTCCTCACCCGGGGATAATATCAAAAACAATAGAGAAGGAGAGAATGACAGTCAATGTAAGGAAGATAAAAAGGAAGAGATGATAGATAAACAGGATAAGATTGAATTCAAACCAGATGAAAACAAAACCAGCAACATAGTACAAGAGAGAGAAGATAAAGGGAATGAGAATGGAAGAGGAGAGGGAGAGGAGGAGGAGGAAGAAGAAGAAGGGTTCATTGAACAGGACATTGTGGATGAAATGTTTATATGTGTATCATCAAAATTCATGTCAGAACAGGTATGGCAATATCCACAAAAATGTTGGTGTTGTTATTATTATTATTATTATTATTATTTCTTTTTCCCTTCAGTTATGCGTTCACGGTAGTTTATTCTTAAAAACGGATCTAATAATGTTCAGACCGAATCCCAACGACCCACTGGTAGAGGACAATGGCCTAGGCCCCTATGAAGTGATGGTACCAATGAATGAGGTGGTTCATGCTTACCTGATGACATCCTACACCACACCATCAAGGTATAGTCCTCATTGTAATAAATTAATGATGATATATGTTTATTGCTATTTTAATTGGAAACAGTAATCCACATTTTCTACATTCACTCAACATAAGAGCATGTTCTATACATGTACTTTTATTTGTATCAGAAACAACAACAACAATAATAATAATCTCTCATAGCCATATTTTTTGATGGATTGCATCTAATTTCATGTACATGTTATAATAGTTTTATATTTTGATGAGAGCTAGACTGTGATGAGCTTATGAAAGCCTCTTTGTTGGTTTGTTCCTTTGATTGTGTTACTAGTGAAGGTGTTGATTAGATTAGCCAGATGGGGCCTCATGTTATTAACAAGAATACAACATACATGTAGAGAAGGGAAATGCTATTTCTACCTTATTCATGTACATGTATAGTATACTTTTATGCATACTTAATTGCATGTACATGTATATGAATTTAATATTATAGCAATTAACTGCAGTCAAATCTGTCTATTCCTTTGGACCCAATAATACTGTCCTGATGATGGAAGTGTCCTTATTTCAGAGGCTCATTAATACACATTTATATTGTATTGGGACTGATACTACCTGCCCTGAATCCTGATTATAGAAGTTATTTTAGAGTGTCCACCAATATGTATAGCAGGCTATACTCATAGGCGGCTGCAGGATTTGACTACTAGTCGGGCATGGGTGTGGCACAGGAAATGGGTTGGGCGCGCGAAGCGCGCCGCGATTTTGGCCACACCCTCTTTTGCGCACCCTTTTTAGCGCAATTTTTTGGTAGCGAAGGTTATTGTAATAAAGTAGTGGGTGGTGTAGCTCCAACACTGACTTCTGTAGTGGTAATACTACTAGTAGTAGTATTAGTAGAGGAAGTAGAAGAATAGGGTGATGGAGAATGAGCAACAATTGACTGTACATCAACTGTAGCTGTAAAAACTGTAGCTGTATCAACCACAAGACTGAGTAGACTGAGACTCATGATCATCAACTGATTCAGCAAGAGACTGACCTAAAGTAAGAATATGAGATAATCTGTATTATTGACTTCTATACTGTACTTACTAGGTTCACTTTGTAAACTTTTGTTCCTTTTTAGCAGGCTTGTTCACAAAGGACATAGTGAAGCTAGTCCAGGCTTTTAGACATTGCAACTGACAAGAAAAGAACACTAAAATAGCACTAAATAATGAAATGATTATGCTTTCTAGTGTTGCTGTGGTGGCCCACTGTGATTGGCACCAAAGTCTTACCACCTCCTCCTTTATTTAGTCTCTCTTCATCACCTTGTTATCAGCCTGCCATTTATGCATTCATAATTATAAGATTTTCATAAAAAATTGAAATTATAATTGCAATAACTGTTATTAACTATTAATTAACCATAGAATAACTATTAATTATGGTGATGTCACACTTCCGGTCAGAATTTTTGGTCGGGCATTGCCCCTAAATGCCCGACCCTGCAGCCGCCTATGGCTATACTGTACATGTACATGTACATGTACATGTATTAAGATTTTACATTTCTCTCTTTCTTCCCCCCTCTCTCTAGTACTGCCACAACTATCAGTCCTCCTTCTCAGTCTGTAGCCCCTCCCACCAGTACTGCCCCGCCCACTTTCTTCTCATCCGACAGTTCATCACACTTACCCTCTTCTCCGCCCACTCAAACTGATCAAGACCTCTTCGAAGGAAAAACTAACCCCCTACTAACCGACTCGGCACAACATTCCGATGTGACCACACCCATCACCAAAGACGACGCCTTCCCAGACGAACCACAGCCACAACAACAAGAAGAGACTGGGACAGACAGTAGAGAAAGGCTGGATACTTTAAACAGTTTGTTTGAAGAAGAGGAAGTGGAGAAAAGAGAAGAAGGTTGTTATGGGGAAGATTTGGTCCCCTCCCCATGGTGTTTCATGTATCTGAGAGTATCACAGAGTGCCCAACAGAGCCCGGCTAACCCGATCATTGGCATTGAGATACCAGTCCCTCGTAAGCAGAGGGCGTCCTCACCGAATATACAAGCAGTCAGGACCTGGTTCATATTTGCCATCCCTACACCTAGGTATGAGATGTACAGTATAAGTATGAGATGTATAGTATAGGTATGAGATGTACAGTATAGGTATGAGATGTACAGTATAGGTATGAGATGTACAGTATAAGTATGAGATGTACAGTATAGGTATGAGATGTACAGTATAAGTATGAGATGTACAGTATACATGTAGGTATGAGATGTACAGTATAGGTATGAGATGTACAGTATAGGTATGAGATGTACAGTATAAGTATGAGATGTACAGTATAGGTATGAGATGTACAGTATAAGTATGAGATGTACAGTATACATGTAGGTATGAGATGTACAGTATAGGTATGAGATGTACAGTATAAGTATGAGATGTACAGTATAAGTATGAGATGTACATGTACGTATACAGTAGGTATGAGATATACAGTATAGGTATGAGATGTACATGTACAGTAGTGATTAATAATGTTTTTGATATGTGAAATATGATTAATAATCCAATGTACATGTTCAAGTGTTAATTAAAATGCAGCAAATACTGTTTATGTAAGAGCGTAGTGACAACAGGATAGTAATAATAATATAGAAATAAATAAGATGAGTATGAATAGATGAAAAAATATATATATTAATTTATTTATTGAATGTTAATGTTCTCATGTACAATGTATATTCAGCTCTTACACTAATGTTATTAATACAATGATGATTTTGATTTCTTTTAAAATTATATTTCTTGCTTTTATCTCTCTCTCTCCCTCTCTCTAGACTAAAGGATATTTTTAATTTCGTATTCAAGCATCATCCTTCATCAAAAAGTGACACTAACATGGCTTCAATGTCATCAGTTGATGATGAATTGTCCGATGATAAGAGGCTTGAAATAATTAATCTTAGGGGACAATATTCAGACGTAAGTAAACAAAGTCATTATTATTAATCTCTGATACATATGTGTTAGATACTCTCCCTAAATAATTACCCACTCTTGATACCACCATACATGCTCTTATGTATCCATGTGCAGTGTACATATACATAATACATGTACATGTTTTTATGTTGTGCAGAATGTTTGAGCAGATTTTGATCAAAATTGGATTTTTAAATGAATTTTAAAGTTGCTAGAAAAATCTTGCCAAAGACGGTCTTTGACCAAATTTTATCAAATATGGCTACGAAAGAATTCATCATTTTTATTACATCGAATACATCCCCTGATTCATGATGTACATGTAATTATGGTAGTTAATTATAATTTTCTTTTGTAGGACTCACTTGTTTTGAGTGAAACTCATTTTGCCTCCTCGTGGGAAGTAAGTACAGTACACTAGCTCTCATGAGTAGTCACTTTATTGTTGTCATTATTTTAGATATTTTCTGTCAGAGATTTCCAGCCTCTTAAGTAAGCCATACAATCATGAAAATAATAAATAAATAAAAAAACAAACAAAATTATAGCAATACAGTGATGCAAACTGCTCGTTCAGAGTTGTACGTGTATCTATAAATCACTGTGTGTGTGTGTGTGTGTGTGTGTGTGTCTACTGCATGCATGCATGATGTACATGTATATCAGTATAATGTACTATAAAAGTTTCTCAATAATTGGTCTTGAGGGGATTTTTATTAGTTAGGGGGAACAGGAAAGGTCAAGTGAGGTCAGATGATCTAGTGTCCGGTATGTAAGGAGATCTACCACTGTTCTAGGCTACTGCTTCTTTTGGTATTATTTTTATGTCCTTAGCCATCATTATGCCATCATCATTCCTGTATGATATTTATAGTAGTGGCATTACATTCTGTTAAAGTCATTCACAGATTGTTAGGAGCAGCACTTCAGTTCAGCCTTGTAGTCTCGTTCTAAATTCATTTACTTGCACTTCCTTTAAATGACATACTCTCATTACTCTATAGCATTCATAATTCAATTGTAATGTGTCCCATGTCTTGTATCTGTACAATGTGTTAGTGTAGTGTAGCCATAAAGGGACTCTATAAAAGCTTGAGCTTTGTGGTAGCATAGTATCAGAGCTATAGCTGTGGTAGAGTAGCAGTCTATTGAGAGAGGAGCACTACTAGCCGTGATGGAGTTGTTACATATTCGTTGCTTTCTTCCTTGGTTCTTCAAGAGACCTAGAGCCATTTCAATTTTGTTGTCGTCGGACGATTATGACAATATTGTTAAGAATCGTAGGAGGTAAGACAAAACCTGCCTACACAGGAGGTGGCCCATTCTGGTGTTATGAATTATGGGACATTGTTCCCTGTAGCTAGTAACTTTAATATTATTTAACTGTAGTCTATTCTACTCTTGGATGCATGGAGACTTGGAAAGGAGCAACGAGAGAATGAGAATAATAGCATTTCCTAATATTTAGAGTGATTAAAATAACCCAAAGCAATTTTTAGTTACATTTATTTATGTTTCTTTTCCTTTTTTCCTACAGAATAGAATGCATGGAGGTAGAGAGTAATCTCCCACTACCAAGACTAGCAGAAAGCTCGGATTACCTAACCAACAAGCACTTAAGAAAAGTACATAAGATAATGTTTATTTTTGTGTGATAATTATCCTCTCACTCTTTCTTTTAGTTGACACTCAATCTAGTCAGCTCTGCTGTGGGTCGTGATTGGAGCCTAGTATACAGCACAGCAAGGCATGGCATCAGCCTTCAGACTCTGTATAGGAATATGGCTAACTATGGAGACTCTCCTACAGTACTGCTAGTAAAGGATGAAACTGGAAAGGTATGTGAACTGGATACGACTGCCAGTCTGACTGGTTTTAAACCGGTTCTGCCTGTATGGATAGGATGCTATAATAGGAATTGAGATTTGTACTTGATCTACATGTAAAAGTACATGTATAATGCTTTGCTGCTTATAGGCTCATTCATATTATTATTATTTATTTTAATCTTTATATTAATGAGCAAATGGAAGAACAGCAGTAGCAGTCACAAAATAATTTATAATAAGTTAAAATTTAAATTTATATGAAATAAGTTAAAAATTAAGGATAGAAGGGTTAATAGGAGCATCATCTTCAATCAACATTGGTCTTAATCTTTATTATTATTATTATTATTATCATTATTTTTTCTAGTTGTTTGGTGCGATGCTGTCCAGTCCCATAAGACGGAGTGATAGGTTTTACGGAACTGGAGAGTCTCTTTTATTCTCTTTTGACGAAGAGGGCGAGATTAAAGTCTACCCGTGGGCTGGAAATAACGACTACGTGATCAAAGGAAGTGGAGACAGCATAGCAATAGGAAGCGGAGAGTAAGTGGGCGTGGTTTTGATTTTAATTAAATTTTGATGACTTGACTGAAAATTTTATTTTTCTTGCTATTATTATTTTTATTTTTCTTCTAGTGGTCATTTTGGCTTGTGGCTAGATGAAGGCTTTTACCACGGGAGCAGTTTCAAGTGTCGGACATTTAATAATGAGCCGCTTGCAAGTTCGGAAGACTTTATAATTTTTGGGGTAGAAGTATGGGGCTTTGAAGGTTTTGAATAACAAGTAGCCGTTTTAATTATATAATTTCCCTCCATCTCTTCTCTCTCTCTTTTTTGCTACTTCAATTGTAAATAACGATGATGACATTAAAAATTAATTTTTAACCACTTCGATCCATCCCTCTCTCTTTCTCTCCATAGACATTAATTCTTATGGCCATGAAGGGTTTATTAATTATTATTTTAATTATTATTAATAATTATTATGTACTACATGTATAATAATCACAGTGTAACATGTTATTGTTATTATTGTTGAATGTCAAAAATAATCGTTCTGTCTGTGTTGTTCTTTTAATTGTTGTTGTTATTATTTGTCGGCTTCCAAGTCGATGCCATATTTGGTCTTGAGGAGTTCGATTTGATCTTGCTTTAGATCTTTGTTCATCTTCTTAAAGGCCTGAAAGAGAGAGACAGTGAGATTTCAAAAGACATTTCTAGGCCCAATTTTTATTACATTTTCTGATACATAATTATTGATAAACTTAGGTATGTGGTAATTTTGAGCTGATTCCAACTAAAAATTTGCATGTTATGGCCATTTTTAAGAAGTAGCAAATTTTCTTTAAAATCATGGACTATAGCCCATGGTTTTTTTCCAAAAAATGGCTTTGAAATCACCCCTATTTTTATTACATTTCCTAATACATATTGATGTCCTTATGCTATGTAAAAAGTTTGAGCTAATTTTGAGCACAGATTCTAGAGTTATGAGTATTTTTTTTAAACTAGCAAATTTTGAAAAAATGCCCATGGTTTTTTCCAAAAAATGGCCCCGAAATGACCCCAAATTTTTATTACATTTTCTGATACATATTGATGTTCTTATGCTGTGTAGAAAGTTTGAGGTGATTTGGACTTTAATTTTTCGAGTTACAGCCATTTTAAGAAAATGCCAAAATTATGAAAAATACCCAAGGCTATAGCCCATGGTTTTTACAAAAAATGGCCCCGAAATGACCCCAAATTTTTATTACATTTTCTGACACATATTGATGTTCTTATGCTGTGTAGAAATTTTGAGCTGATTCTGATTTCAATTTTTTGAGTTACAACCATTTTAAGAAAACGTCAAAAGTCTGAAAAATACCCAAGGCTATAGCCCATGGTTTCTCCAAAAAATGGCCCCGAAATGACCCCAAATTTTTATTATATTTTCTGATACATATTGATGTCCTTATGCTGTGTAGAAAGTTTGAGGTGATTTGAACTTTAATTTTTCAAGTTACAGCCATTTTAAGAAAATGCCAAAATTATGAAAAATACCCAAGGCCCATGGTTTTTACAAAAAATGGCCCCAAAATGACCCCAAATTTTTATTACATTTTCTGATACATATTGATGTCCTAATGCTATGTAGAAAGTTTAAGCTGATTCCGATGACAAATTCTTAAGTTATGAGCATTTTTAGAAAAACATTGAAATGTCTCACCTTATGCGGTTGATAATAGAGTACCACCAGGTATCTGTTGCAAACGTTGAAACCTGACAAATGCTCACAGGCATTCTTAGCATCAAATATATCCTCGTACACAACAAACGCAGTTCCACGAGTATTTGGAGCAATACCTCTACATTTAAAAAAATCAAAATAATATTTAGTCATTTGAGTGTCACATTATACACACATGTATACTCACAATCTTATTTGTCTGATTGGTCCATATTTTCCAAATATGTCATACATTTCCTCAGTCGATACTTCAAAGGGAAGGTTCCTCACGTATAGGATCCTGTTAACTTCAGGAGGCAGACGAACCTACATACAATCGGAGGAAAAAGACAAGAGATTATTGCCATTATTTATTTAGACCCATTTATCACTGTATTGAGACTCTATTGCTATACAATGATATAACTCAAACTCTAAGGATCACATCCATGCATATATTAGTAACATACTTCACTCTCTTTGGACTAAAATGTAGAAACTTACGTTTGCTCTTCTTGCTGCCGCTAACGCCATCTTTCCGTACTGTTTTTTTTTCTACTATGACGTCACATCATGACGTCAGGACAGAAACCGGATGTGTGAAGGTGAATTAATGAATAAGAATTTTAAGAATAATTTAGCTATAAGTTGGGAATAATAGGTAATTTTTTTGGAATAATGAACATTGTTGACAGAATAGAAATTGACAAAACAAAACATTATGCTTAAAGCAGTTAAGTTTTGAAAGTGATATCTAAAAAATAATAGTTTCATATACAGCTGGAGTAGTGGATGAGCCTGTAGGAGGATTAGCTGCAGTAATGGTGTGTCTCTGAGAATATGCCACGTTCTCTTGTACATTAACAATTGCTGCATACACTTCATTAGATGCTGAAGGAATTGATAATGTATTACCTAAAGCTGTCACTTCTTTATCACTAGCAGATTTTTTATATTCTAAACAGAACAAATAGTATGAATCAAATAATAATCATTATACTTTTTCTCAAGCAGAGATGCTGTAAAGCAAAGAGTATTATAAATACTATCAGTATTATAAATATGCTGATTGTTATACCAGCAATGGCACCACTTGATAATCCTAAATAAAAATGAACTGAAAAATAAGAACAAGGTATGAAGCTATTAACCTGATCGATCAACAGTTTGAGGTGTACTGGTAGGAGTATTAGTAATAATAGAACCAGTAGTAGTTGATATACTAGCAGAGAGGCTAGCAGTAACTGATGTAGTAATGATGGATACAGTAGTACTGAATACTGCAGCAATGTAATGTATTGTAGTGACACATTAGAAATAATTATTATACTCACTTGGATCAATAGTAAAAACTTGAATAATATTATCTGAAGCACCATATTGATTGATGGTTACTATACTGACTGATACTGACCCACCATTAGGTATACTAATATCAATATTAACGATATCATTAGACTGATAATTATCGAAATGATGTGTAGTAGAACTTATAATAGATCCATCAGATACATTAGTAACATTAACAATAAACCTAATATTAGTATCACCAGGATACATTGTTCGTACTCTTAATACTAGTGAACCAGGAGATGTTACAGCATCAGTAATCACTGGAGATGAAGGAATACCTACAGAGAGAAAGAGAGTGGGGGATAGCGAGGGTGATGTTAACTATTTAATTAGACAAACTGACAATAAAATACAACCAAATCCAATTATGTAAGTAGCCAAGAGTAGGTTTATACCAATCATTAATGATTGCTTAATATGCTTCATAAGTTTACTCTACCCTCCCCGGCACTCTCTCTTGAAATTCTTTTTCTATTTCACATTCTTTTACCTTGCACAGTTAGATAATGTATTTGTGACTCATTCCCAGCCAAACTACTAGCAGTACATCGATACAATCCTGTGCTAGTATAGCACACATTATGCAAGGTGAGAGCTTTAAGAGAAGAGAGAGGAACACCATCTTGTCTTGACCAAGTATACTTTAGGTCAGTTCCAGTGATAGAACAATGGAGTGTAATGCTTTCACCAATCAATACAGTACTAGCTATTGTACTATTAGCAGTCAATTTTGGAATAACTGGAAAGAGAGGGGAATAGAGACAACTGAACAGAAACTAAATTTTGTTAAGTGGGGAATGAGTAGCAGATAAACAATGCTTGAATGGATTAACATACACTTATGTGTATGTCAATATGCATGTCAATCCATTCAAGCATCATTTACAATGTACATAAATACAATAATGTCCCAACAATAATTTGCAGACAATATTACATAAAATAATTATTCATAATACTTACAATATGCAGTGACTGTTCTGTTGGTGGTAAGTTTAAAATTGGTTGGTGTAACGGAGACTTCACAAGAATATTCATCAAATATTAAGGAGAAATTAACATTTAGCACACTTGAATTACCAGCCAATAAAACACTGGGGAAAAAAGGGGGAAATGTGTGTCATTGCATGTGTTAAAACTCACAATTCTTGGCTATTGTTACTTCTCCCTCTCCAAGTGTAGCCACTAGCATTCCTACCAGGACTGTAAAACCGACAGTGCAATGATTCAGTATGTCCTTCAATAAGAAAACCAGCAATGGAAAGAGAATAATCTAAAAACAGAGCAATAAAGTAAAAATCCCTCTCAGGCTCTCAGTACATATATTTTTCTCTCTTTCTTCCCTTACTTTGTCCAGTAATGCTTTCATTTATTTCTTGGATTACACTGCCATCAGAATGTGCTTGACATGTTAAAATACCAGCAGTGGCCATACCAAATGCATTTATAGTCAATTGAAGCTGTTTGCCAGCATGAGAAGGTAAAGGTACTGTCTCAATTGTAATATTATCATTAGTAGAGAGTGTCTGACTGTTCAGCTTGAAGGAAAGTGAATCATGACTAGAATTATCAGTGAAGCAATAAATGGTGAAAGACTCTCCTGGATATGGCTGCAATAATACTTTTGAGGCAGGAGTATACACCCACACTAAACTTCCTAGAGAGAGAGGAGAGAAAGAGGAGAGAGAAAGAGGAGAGAGGAGAGAGAGAGAGAGGGTTGGTGATCAGCTTAGAGGGAGCTAGGCTTTACCTTGTACTGGTGCAGATATGATAGTAAGCCCAATAAGTAGATCTACAAACAAGAAATGTGACAGGAACATGTTGAATGAATAAAGACTAGAGTATAGTAAAGCAAGAGAGATTTGCTATGGAATGATAATTTAATTGTCATTCCATAGCAAACAAGCATGTAGATCTAAAACCTGACAATAAAATCAAAACTGATGCCTCAGGGGTCAAAAGGCCAACCAACTTACAGTTCACCGTAGATAATGGTGCAGCATTATTATTGAACGGGTGGACAAAAGTGGCCAAACTGCATATCTGCTTTTTAGTGATGATAAATGTTGAAAATGCCCCTTTTTATAGACTTTTAGACTTTGAATTACTGGAATTTGGTTAAAGGAAAGATATGTGCATAAGTATTCATATAGTCAACTTTTAGCATTTTGAGATTTGCATATTTGCAGATTGTTGAATGTGACAATCTAGCTAACATTCACTATCTGACAATATCAATTTCTGCATATTTACATTTGGCAGCTTGCATCTACAAAAGTTCAGTCTTATACTTTGCTATAACTGCATACCTGCAAACCTGGAAATCTACATTTTGCAGCTACAGCAATTTTTGCTGGCTTCTTGCTGCAGAGCCTTTGCTGGTGCTGCTGCACATGAAAGCTATTGTGTATTTACACCTTTCAGGTGAGATTAGCTAGTAATGATACTATTGTTATTATTATTATCAAGAGTAGATAATTAGTTAGGGAGAGTGTCTAACCGCCCTATAGTA